GATAATTTCCTTGTCAGTTCAGCTAACGTTTACATTTTTTTCCCTCTGAGTTGAACATGTAACCTGTTACCTGGTATAGGTGCCCTGTGTGAAAATGTAATTACTCCCTAAACCTACTGACTGGTTGCGCCACCCTTGGCAGCAAGAACTGCCATCAAGCGTTTGTGATAATGGACAATGAGTCTTTTATGAGGCTGTGGAGGAATTTTGGCCCACTCTTCTTTGCAGTATCCATGGTTCCAGTAATTATGGCAAGCAACAAAGCAGCCTCAGACATCACACCACCACCACCATGTTTGCCTGTCTGTCATGTATGTCATGAAATGCTGTGTTAGTTCTACGTCAGATGTAACAGGACTCAAACCATCCAAAAAGTTTAGCTTTTGTCTCGTCAGTCCACAGAATATTTTCCCAAAAGTCTTGGGGATCATCAAGATATTTTTTGACAAAGAATTTTTCTATGGGTGTTGTTTTTGCCCAGTGTCTTTCTTATTCTCCACCCTTGGTCACCGCCTGGCACACATTGCACCTGACCCCTATGGTGCCCCCTGCAGGTGGTGGGCCTACAGGAATGTGAGTCCATGTCCCTTCTTTGGGCTATAACCAGAACGGCCCCGTGGCCTAAGGCCCAGTCACCAGGCACTTGACCTCAGGCACCCTCTCCAAGCCTGGCTCCTTGTCATTTGTGAGCTGTGGTGAGGCCAGCTGCTGCTGAACTTCATCGGTAACAAGCGGATGAGCAGTCAGGTTGCAGCCTTCATTTCTACCTGGTCGTGTTTCTACAGTAGAATAACTGTTGCCATCACTTTGAAGTGTATTTGTGCTGAATTTCATCTTTGTTTTGTGTTGTTGGCTTTGTGTTCAAATTCAAATTTCAAATTCAAATTTTATTTGTCACGTACACAGTCATACACAGTACGATATGTAGTGAAATGCCCAAATGCTAAGAGAAAGATGTGTCCTCATTAGGATAGGGATTTGTGTTGGTGTTCGGGATTGTAGCCTCAGGTGTTCGATTGTTAAGTAATAATTTTGATACAGTGTGTTTCAGGTCATTTTAGAGAGTAAGATGAAAGTAATGTAATGGGTGGTATATAATGAATGGTTTTCTCCTTGGAGTAATTAAGTAATGTACTGCATTACTTCTAATAAATGTGTTATGTCTAATGTGTGTAATACATTACCTTTTTGAGTAATGACTCAACACTGATCACAACATTAGACCACACAACATACAATTAATTTGCATAAATGTAATGTGGTGCTTAGTAATGGTGGTAACTCTCAGAGCGGAGCTAGTGAGAACCCAATAAGAATCGCTAGGAGAACTGATAAGGAATTTAATCAATAAGTAAAATGTATCATAGAATCAGAATGGCTAAGTTCTTATCAATTCCCATCCCTAGCCAATATTCCTTAACATCAAAAGGAGCCAGTTCAGGTGGTTCGGGCATCTGACAGGGGTACCTCCTGGGAGCCTTCTGGGTGAGGTGTTCCCAGCATGTCCCATCAGAACAATGCCCCAGAGCAGACCCAGCACAACTGAAGAGATTATATCTCCTGGCTGGCCTGGGAACGCCTTGGTGTTCCCCTGGATAACCCTGAGGTGGGTAGGGAGAGGAAGGTCTGAGCTTCTCTGCTTAGGCTGTTGCTCCCACCACCTGGCCTGAATAAGCAGAAGAAAACTGATGGATGGATCTTTCTTATTGTCATTCATGAACTCTGACTTTAACCAGTGCGCCCCAGGGCAGCTGTGGCTACAATGTAGCTTGCCATCACCAGTGTGTGTGAATGTGTGCGTGAATGGGTGAATGACTGAATGTAGTGTAAGCACTTTGGGGTCCTTAGGGACTAAGTAAAGCGCTGTACAAATGCAGGCCATTTACCATTTAACTGTAACAAGTGAGGCCTACGGGTCTTTAGATATTGCTCTGGGTTCTTTTGTGACCTCCTGGATGAGTTGATGCCCTTTTGGAATAATTTTGGTAGGGTGGCCACTCCTGGGAAGGTCCGCCACTGTTCTAGTCTTTCTCCATTTTTGGATAAGGCTTAGAAATAGCTATGTAACCCTTTTCATACTGATAGATGTCAATGATTTTGTGTTTCAGCTGTTCTTGAACTTGTTTAGATCATGGCACGATGCATTTCTCTTTTAGTCTGCTTCACATTGTCAGACAGGTTAAGTGATTTCTTGATTCAACAGGTCTGGTAGTTATCAGGCCTGGGTGTGGCTCAGGAAATTTAACTCAGTTTTCTAAAAAAACAAAAAAAACTTGTTTAATTACAGTTAATCCATGATGATTTAACAAGAGGGAGCAGGGAGCTTTTCACACAGGGCAAGGTAGGTTTTAATGGCTTCCCCCCCCCCCAGCTTACTAAAACAAATCATTGATTAAGAACTGCACTTTATATTTACTCCGTTTATTTTTGACTAATTTGACTAACTTTTGGTAGATTAGACAAGTAGTAGTTTTATTTCCATCAAATGCTCACGTTAAACAGTCTGACAGCCTGGACAAGACGGCACCACGATGATTACAACCTCAAAAACTAACAGTACAAACTAAAAACAGCTACTACACACTTCAAGCAAGTGAACACAATGTTTTGCTCATTTGGAATGAAAGATCAATAAAACTCCTACAGGAATAAAAAATGTAAAAAAAAAAAAAAAAAGCTACATTGAAAGTCTCTGTGTCATATACTGGCAGAGAACCACAGGAAAACCAGCAAAGACATATTTGTGAGTAAAGATTAAACATTTTATGACATTTACTCTGGTCATCAGTTAACTGTAGTGCCTGTGGGTTTGTTGAAGGAGAAAGGGGACAAGATGAGCATGATGAGCATGCAAGTCCTCACAGAACAAACTGAATGACCCCAGGAGCCACAGAGCTTCTCTTGTAGCAACTGGTGGGTCTCTACTTTCCTCTGCTGACTGCTTTTGGTAACTACAAGGCTTCAGGCAATAAAATCCTGTGAGCTGAGCTGTCACTGAACAAAGTGTTCCCTGCATTAAATACTGTGTTGTTGCCATCTTTGACATGATCAAAGACATTCTGTAAGTAAGTGCCACTTCACAGCAATCTTGGAAACACTTCTGGTCAATTTTTGAGGATTTATTTTGAAATTGTATCTTACTTTAATGGATATAAAACCTGCAAACAGAATCGCAAAGTCAAAACTGCTCTCCAGGCATGTCTTAAAATTAAGTTTAACAGTTATCACAATTCATTCTACCTAATTTTTTAGTTTTTTGAAGATGAAATATAACAACACCCGTAGTCTGTGACTAGTCCATACAAACAGTTACTTATTTATTAAACGAAATATTTAAACTGGTCTTTTAAAAATACATTTCGCTAATATTTTCTTCCTTTATTTTAAATTGGCGGATGGATATGTTCTAGCGGTAATAGTGACAAGTCCGGACTTTCCCGTAAATCACATCACAGAAACCGTTGGTGGCGACCAGTGGCGATGTGTTCTCTTCCGCTGCCTTTGGGTGACGTCGGAAATGTAGCAGGCATTACCGGCAGTGACGTTTATTGAGTAATACGTAGAAAACTGTCACTAGTAGTGCTACAGTGAATGTTAATGTAGTGCCAGTAATAAAACTGATTTGATTCATGCGTCAAGTACATTTTGTTTTCGCGATTAAATTGTTTATGGTGTTTATCTGAAGTATTTTGACACAGGATTTTTAAGGTGAAATTGAAGCAAAGAGTTGACTGTAGCTTAAAACGGAAAGCAATGAAACATTATATACCAGGTGAAATGTTTTGCTTATTATTAAAATATTTGTAACTTATATTTAGAATATTTAAATACATTCAGGTTACGTGCACTTGTAAAATTTAACGAGTCAGCGTTGCGAGACTATTTACCACCGCGGATGTACACAGCGTTTCCATCGAACAGCATGTTGACGTCACGCACTTCGCCAGTCACCCTGCTCCGCTGTTACCGTGTGGAGGCTGTGTTCGCTGTAGCTGCTAAACGTTGTTTTTCAGGTGAAGATGGCAGCAGGTCCTCTCTCTGTATCTTCCAATGCCTCCACTAACAATGATGGGATTCTCATTGGCGACAAATTTTACTCAGAAGTGTACCTTACAATCGACAACTCGCTTGTACCGGAGGAAAGGCTCTCAACGACGCCGTCGATGTTCGACGGCCTCGACCTGAACACAGAGGCCGATCTTCGTATTCTTGGCTGTGAGCTGATTCAGTCAGCGGGTATTCTCCTCCGGTTGCCACAGGTAAGCGCTCTTGACTGCAGTGCATTAGTGTTGGGTGTTTAATAATAATAATAATAATAATAGGCGAAAGTTGATGTGGCTTGTAGTTTCTGCGGCCTAGTTGTCAGCAGTGTGCTAAATGTTAGCTCTTGACGTTGGCGTGGTGGAATTAAAATGGCGGCGATCCATTGTGCAAGGTTAGGCCAGTTTACACAAGACTATGTACAATTATTATGCTCTTTTTTTCGCCCCCGTTCGACAGGTCGCAATGGCAACAGCTCAAGTACTTTTCCATCGTTTTTTCTACTCCAAGTCCTTCGTCAAGCACAGTTTCGAGGTAAGTGTGTTAAGAGTTTCCGGAGTGTTGCCGGGCCGCTGTCGGCCGGTATTGTTAGCATAGCATTGCATAACGTTGTACCTACGTTAGTGGCAGCCATATTGTCGAGTCTAACTCCACCAGTTAAAGAACTCAACGATGAAGTGAGATCTCCTATGAGTGTGAAACTGAGCACAGACTCGAAGTACACAATAGCACTGCATTAAAACACTTGCGCTATTGTAGTGTCAGCATTGGTTTCAGTACATCATTACGTTTGTAGAGTGGATTGATAGGTATGTAAAGAGTACACATCACCCCCCACAACAAAACAGGATAGGGTTTATATTGTTGCCTCTTTTTTTTGTCTCGTGTTTGTGTTCTGATCTCTTGAGCTCAGTTTTCTGTAGTAAACATTCCTGTTTGCTTATCATTTTATTTTCCAGATTGTTGCCATGGCTTGCATCAACTTGGCCTCCAAGATAGAAGAAGCACCACGGCGAATACGAGATGTCATTAATGTTTTCCATCACCTGAAGCAGCTCAGAGGAAAAAAGTAAGCACTCCAAATGAATCCAATGTTCTCCTCTTGAAAATAATTATTTAACATGTAAAAAATGCTGCATTGCAATGTTTTTTTTCCTGTTTTTGTTTTCTTATTTTGTATTATGTAATGTTTGATGCTGATCTGTGTTTTTGCTGTGAAAGTGCCCTTTTGTTTATCCATGTACTCTAAACCATTTTAAAACTTTTCAGTTTCCGCTTCACTGGTAGTTTTGCAGTGTAATTGTCTACATTTAACATCAGTTTGACATTGCACTGAAATTAATGCCTCAAACAACTGGCTTCAAAAATTCAAGTCTATTATTTGTAAGACACAGTCACAGACAAAGCAGCTGTACCTGTGTCTTCATACAAATCTGTTGATGTCAATATTACAGATTTTGGCATTAACTTGACTTCTTTTTTCCCTTGCAACCAACTAACAGCGACCAGCTACATTTACCAAAGCCTGGGTGATGTGGAATGGTACGTAAGATGAAGCTGTCGGCATGAACCATGATGCGAGGGGGGTCTCCCTCCTCCCCCAGGCCCACCCCACCCCCTCCTGCGGGAGACTCCCGTGGTCTGAGCCACCGCGGGGCACTGGGATCGGGGATGACAGGTTGGCCGAAGGTCCTTGGCCCCCGGGGCGCCTTGAGGACTCCTGTGGTTCAGTCTTAAGCTTTGGGTATCTGTCCGTCATTCTGCGGACCCTTGGGTAATGTAGTTTTCTTCTCTGACTGCTCCTCACCATGCATTTTAATTGTGCTTAAAGAGCAACACCCCATCCACCACCAGCTGCAACCATGGCTTTTAAAGAAGTATCACCTTGTATGTTAGAATTAGAATGATTAGTTGGTTACTGTGAGTCTGTCGGTTTTGTGAGGGTCAGTGCATGTTCTCTAGCTTCAACAGTTTGCCATTATATGCTGTTAATTTGATATTGCATTTCTTAAGTGTAGCTGTGAGGTATATATAAAAGAGGTGTAATGTTAGGTTGGGATTTGTGCTTGTTGTATTGTCTTTAGTCCTCAGAGGTTATTTTTGTTTTCGCTTTTTTTCCATGCATGTGGTTTGTAGTGTAACATTCACATTAGAATATATTTCAGACATTAGAATTGCAGACTCGGAACTTTAAATTGAAGTTTACTGGTTTGTCAGGAGTCGTGCTATATAATGAATGACTCTCACAAATCATTGTGGTTTAATTCCATTCCAGATTTTAATTCCATCTTGTGGGCACGATGACAGGCAACTTGAGCAGACGTTGGTGTATCAGCTTTGTTCGTTCGTGGGTTTTTTTGTTTGTTTGTTTTTTGTGGATTTTCTTTCCACGAGTTTGTCTTCATCAGTGGAATGTTTTCCTTCCAAGTCTGGATTGCCTGCATCCAGACAGTGGTTTTGGTCAATTAATTTGCAGTATACTGACATACAGTATAAGAACATAGATGAGAATGAGTTGTGATGGAGTACAGTAATGGCTGCTTTCCATTTTTATTTTAAATTGGCGTTAAGCTTGAGGTTCAAAACGTCTGTTGTGAAATCGTAATGTTAGCACCAAGTTGATATTTCTGTTAAGGCTGTGGCACAGGGTGTGTTTTTTGGGTTGAGGGCTGTCTTTGAATCTCACAAGCTTTCACTGGAACCACAGGAGTCCACAAACCCCAGCAAACTGTCAGGCATGCAAACAGTTAACTGTTGCTTTGAGTTGGTTGAAATGGGAAAAACGAAGGGGCGCAGGAATTCAGAAGGGCACTGTCTTTTTTCTTTTTTAAATTTTGTTTTGTTTTGTTTTTTTCTTTTAAATGCAAGAGGGAAACAATATTTTATTTTGATTCCTTTGCAAACTAGGACTCCAAGTCCATTGATACTTGATCAGAACTACATAAATACCAAAAATCAAGTCATCAAAGCGGAAAGGCGGGTCCTGAAGGAGCTTGGATTTTGTGTGCATGTCAAGCACCCTCACAAGGTGAGTTTCTTTTCTTTCTTTTTTTGGGTAATAACATTTTAAATGTAATAAGCAGCTAATGCAGCTGTACAGGAGACAGGGTTAAAATATTATTCTTACTTAACAGAACAGGTTTGATCTTGGAGACGCTCCTGGGGCTATTGAGCAGGGTATTTTTTTTTAACTTCAGTGTATGATTACAGATCGTTGTCCTGTATCTTCAAGTCCTGGAATGCGAGAAGAACCAGACATTGGTGCAGACAGCCTGGTAAGTTAATAGTTTTTCACAGACAACCCCCCCACAGCAGCAACCTGTGTCATGTCTGCAAGAAGTGCTACCAGACCTGGGCTAAAGATGAAGTTGAACGAGTTTCAAATGGTTGAATTTCTGAAGAGCACTTGATTTATCTGCCAGGAACTTGGGACTGACCCATATGTGGACCACCTGTCAGATAAGTAATGTTCAAGTGCCTACCAATTTACAGGCACGCATTTGAAAAACATTCAACAGCCATTTTGCCCAGGTCTGACGACGACATTTCCTCACTCCATTTGAACCCTTCCACTTTTTTTTTTCTTCTTTTCCCTGATGGAGCAATTTGTGTTATTACAAATTTACTACTTGTCTCACTCTCTTATCAGCCCTTACATGGCTTACTGTAAAGTCTTTTAAAAAAAAAAAAAAAAAAATTTGCGGTGCCCGGGGGACTTGGTTTAACTTTGTCCTTTCTCTCTACTCTTTGATTAAAGGGTAGTCCATGCTGGTAAGTCACATAAAGAACCTCTGAACTCTGCCTCCTCCAACCACATGACCTCAGGAAGCTCCCCCCATTGGCTGGCTGCCCCTCTCCAGACAGCCAGTCCCAATGCCGAGATTCACTGAAGGGGGCGGGCGGGACTTTACCCAACAGCCAGCATCGTCTTGTTTTCTCTTGGGTGTCCAAAAGGATTTGTATTTTTTGGTCTTGGTATAAAGGTTTTCATCTGTAATAACTATTTTTGCCAACTAGCTACAGATAGATGTATATTCTAACTTTTTTTTCGTTTACTTGCATTTATCAGTGAAGTAAACTTAGCCAGAACAGACTTTTTTTTAACTAGTTTACCTGCCTTTTTTTTTTTTTTTTTAAATTTACAGTAGGTATTGTGTCTTGTCCCCAACTGACGTGGTGTCCAGACATGTGTCTGTCTTACAGGCTGATCGAGTTCTCAGGTTTTGCCTCCATGGACCTGTCTCACCCACGCAGCACTCAGAATCCAACATCCATGTGTTATCTATAGCAGAGTTGGCATGCTAGTTTTGTTCTAGGCAGTTTGGACTGAAGACACTTTATCTGAATGGCAGGTTTTCAGCATTTGCAGCAAACTTTTAACTGGAGCAGTCCAAAATTTTATGTATGGTTGGAAATTGGTATTGACAAGGTAATCCCAGTGCCACTGCAATGCAGAGGAAGTTTGACTGTGTTAGATGTAGTTTTTTTTTTTTTTCTTCTTTCCCCTAATGGTGGGTTTCTTGTGTGAGCTTTCTGGGATTAGTGTTTGGGTACTTTAAGGATTCTCACCACCATGTTTCTGTTATCACACTTCTGTTTTTGTCTTTGTGACATCTATTTCTTAAGGACATAGATGTGACACTACCCCGTAACTTGCCTGATTCACAACCTGGCCATCATGCCATTCCTAATACTCTCCCAATGTCTAATCTCATTTATTCATTGTCCTAGACAACCCTCTGACACATAATCTGTTTTTAGCTAATCATCACCTGATGTCTTCTAGAGAAGACCTCTAATGAGTCTTACTAGAAGGGAGTTTCACTCAAGTGGACTTGGTGGTCATTTCAGTTTGCATTTTACAGTTTTTACCTAAAGTGGTAAATGTTCTGTGGCTGAACCTTGAATAAATGTTAAAATCCGTTTTTACTTTGAGCATATCAGCATACCACTGACTTCAAGAACCACCAGTTGCATGCTACATGACATGCTGTGCTACCCAGTTCCCCTCAGATTTGTGGCAGCTGCATCTTAGATAAATATTCTACATCTGCGAGCCTGCATGTTCCCCACCTTGTATGGCATGTGCCCTTGTCTTAATCGTCATTAGAGCGTAACCTTGTTGGCCTCCGGGCACAATTAGATGAGGTGGAGTTGGCAGGTTATCAGTAGATAATTATTTTTTCACCATCCGTGTCTTCATGCTTTATTTGTGATGTGATGCGCTCTCATGGATGCCCCAGAGAGAAATGGACAAAGTTAAACCTGATTTTATCTCACTTGAGCACTGTGTCAAATCCAACAGTCCAGGGGTCCAGTTAACAGTGCTTGTTCAAAGAAAATTAAAAAAGTTAAATCCCTGGTTAGGAGCTTGTACTGTAGAGAAATGTTACAGATTATTAACCTGCAGTACTGGGTTATAGTCAATGGGTGTAATATTGAAAGATGGATTTAAGGTTTTGTGTGGAGAAGATGCTATGTTTTTGTTCGTTCTTTTGTCTCCATAGGAACTACATGAACGATAGCCTGAGGACAGATGTGTTTGTGAGGTTTCAAGCTGAGACGATTGCCTGCGCTTGCATATACCTTGCTGCCCGAGCACTGCAGGTGAGAGGAAATAGTGAAAATCTGAAACTTTTTCCTGTTGATAGTCCCACATTGGCACATCAAAATGTCTTTGTCTAATAAGAGCAATTTAGATAAATAACTCTGCCTTTCTTTTTCAGATACCGCTGCCAACCAGACCCCATTGGTTCCTGCTGTTTGGAGCCACGGAAGAAGAGATCAAAGATATCTGCATCACCACCCTGAAACTTTACACCAGGAAGAAGGTAAATATGAGTGCAGCGCTTTCCTATGCTTTGCATTAACTATAATCCATCCACAATGAGTGTGTTTTGTGACTATTGCTAAATAGATTACGCTCAAGTCCTGAATGATAAAACATGTCTAGAACACACTGAAGCATGGGCCGTCTTTAGTCGATTTTAAAAAGCACTGGGTCAAGTCTTGGTCAGACCCTTTGAACTCACATGTTGGGTCAATGGATCAACTATTGTGATTGGCCTGTTCCAATTCCTCAGTGCTTTTTACGGCTACTTCCCCCCAGTTTTTAAATTTATTAGTGAGAGAATAACAATCATGATTCCAGTATAAGGAATAATAATCATCGAGATCAGGACTCTCAAATGTGAACACGTTTCTGGAGGGAGATTTCTGAAACTATCAGGATTCATGTGAGGGAATGTACAAACAAGTGGGAAAATGGAGAGCTCGACATGCTCCTGATTCTTCATTAAATGCTGGTAGTCCAGAAGCAGGACATCATCAGTTACCTGAATGACTCACATAGCACCGTAATGTAGTAGCATAATTGTTGATAAACCATCAATTTATCTGCTAACAGTTGCATTAGGCTGCGCACATTCCTTCTGGGCATTTAAAATGTGATTATAGCAGAAATCAGCCAAGCATTTTGATGTGAATGGAGACTAAAGCAGACAACTTACCCATTAGACTTGAGCTGGGACATGAAGCAAGCAGAGGCTTCACTGTAACTGAGAGCTTTTCTGTGTTCAGACAGTGTAGAGTCTAAAAATTCAGATTAAAACCCAAATTGTACAGCTCAGCAGGCTGATCCAGCAGCTGTGGAGGCAAAACTTTTATTTGTCAGTTTATTTTCCATTTGTTCAAAACTGAACTTGAGATTCTCAAATAAAATAAAAAATACATGAAGTTAAAAAATGTTTTCACTTTAGGTAGGCCTTAAAAAAAATTGAAAAAAAATCACGAGTAGTAGAGTTCGTTCAAAGGCTGATGTCATTTTTCTGCAATCTCGTCAACATATTGTGACAGATTACATCGATCCAAGGTTAAAATAAACTAGCATACACTCCTGCACCGTATGGCTCAGGGGAAGGTGCCTGAATGAAAGTAAGAGCTCTTGGCAGACTTGGCGTAAACTTTTTTTTCCCCCTTCCCTTAGCCTAACTATGAGCAGCTGGAGAAGGAGGTGGAGCGAAGGAAAGTGTTCTTGGCAGAGGCTAGGATAAAGGCTAAGGGTCTGAATCCTGATGGTACTCCTGCACTGTCCACGCTGGGTGGCTTCTCGCCTGCTTCCAAACCGTCCTCCCCTGTGGTCAAGGTGGAAGAGAAGTCCCCGAACCCCCAGACTGTCAAACCAGTTAAAAAGGAACCAGACAACCGTACCCAGGTCAACAAGAGTCCACATAATGGGTAAGAAACGCATTTTAAGTCAATATTTTGCCGTCATTTGTAACAAGGTAATAGTTGTGATCTCTTACTTGCCTGATAGTCTGTTTTTAAGTTCAAGTTCAAAATGTTTGTCTTCAGGTTAAGGAAGGAGGTAAAGATTGGGAGGAACAGTAGGAGTGGAAGTCGCTCTCGTTCGAGAACGCGTTCGCGGTCAAGATCGCGCTCCTTTCGCAGACAGTAAGCGCTACAGTTTTGTGTTTTAACGTGTGTGAATGTGTAGCTCTACCTTCCTAATGTTTAAAAAGATCTGATTTTCATAGTCTGGTTGTTTCTCATATCCATTTTTCCCACCTGTTGTTTTCGCAGTTACAACAGCAGACGCAGCCACTCAGGGACCTACAGTTCTCGTTCACATTCTCGCTCTCACAGCCGTAGCCCATCACCACAGCGGCATCCGCCCTCACCACTCCTCCCCCACCTTAAATCCAAGTCCAGTCACCACAGTAATAGCGACTCCAAGCCCAGCGGTCGTCACAGCAACAGCGGAGGTGGAGGCTCCGGTCATAAAAGGAAGCGCTCGCACTCTCGGTCGCGGTCCCGCAGTCCAGTCAAAGTAGAAAGGGACCGTGACAGAGAGAGGGAACGCGAGAGAGACAGAGACCGCAGCTCCTTCGATCTGTCGTCAAAGAAACACAAACATGACCGAGGAAGTGGCCATCGAGACCGGAGGGACAGGGAGCGGTCCCGATCCTACGACAGGGACAGAGAGAGGGAGCGTAGCCACAAGAGCAAACACCACAGTAGTAGTGGGCACTCGGGACACAGCCGCCACCGTCGCTGAGACCCAAACCGACCCACTCTGGCTCTGGGGCTGATGGTCACATGAGTACTTTGAGTATATACAAATCAAATTAGACGCGCCCTCTGAACATTGACTGACAGATTGATGTTTAAATTAAATATTTGTGCAGAAGGTAAAACAGAAGTTAACCAAACATCCACGTAAAAGAAGAGATTCTTGTACCTTGCTTTATTGAAGACCAAAAATTTTCAAAAACCTTGTCGAAGCTGCAGTGACTGAAAACACGTTTAATTGGATTTGCCATTTTGTATACCAGCAGGGGTCCTTCCTCTGAATTTGCTGGGTTTCTCATACACACCTGGCGTCAGACCATCAGCGTATACAAGTTGATTTTAATTTTTCAAATTTTGTTGAAGTCACAAAACATCTGCCCAGCATTATGATTCATCTCAGTGGAAACAGTGGAGCCAGACAAGTCACCACGTGTCTCATGTACAAATGTCTTTGATGGAATCGGGTTGCTTTGAGTCTCCTACAGAGCAGCAGATCTGTAGCTGACATTTATCTTGGGTGGTTGATGGTTTTGAGTCTACATGCAAACTGCAGCTGTGACCACCACCATGAGGTGCTCTACAATTACCTTTAAACATTTGCCCAGACTGGCAAAGGCAAGGTTGTAGTGTGACATCAGCTCCAGACCCAACCATATATCCTGACAAACCATCTAGCCTACCCAACCCAGCCCCCTCTTGTTGTTTTTTTTCCCCTCCCCCCCCTTTTTTTTTTTTAGTTTTACATATAATGTTATGGACATTTGGAGGGGAAATTATTTACAGTGTAAAGACGGATTGATGACCACTGACAAAATGTGAATGCTTTGATTTATAAAAGCAAATGGCTCAGTGGACGTACTGAAGAATAAATGTAAAATAAACATTCAGGAAAGATCAAAATGTTTGCACAGTCTTTGTTTTCTTTCTTTTATTGAACAGATATGTGGCTGATGCTGTATTTTGTACAGTTTCAAAAGAGTACTGTCTATTTGACTTCTTTTTTTTTTTTTTTTTTTTTTTTTTTTTTTTTTTTTTGACCTCCCAGCAGGGAGTGCAGACTTGCTGCAAAAAGATTTTAGGGTTGTCAGTTTTGTTACACTGGTTTTTAGTCTGCACGTGTTCATGTCCAATTTTTATTCAGTAATAAATGAGCTATGCCACTGACCTGTACACTCCTTTATTGAATTTGTGCCTGGTGTAAAAAAAACAAAAACAAAGAAACATTGGTTGTAGTGGCAGGAGCCGTTGTTTGATTTGTATTGTTGCCTTAAGTGGAGACAGTGAAGTCTCAGCTGATTGGAGGGTAAACTGAAGCTATGATCTGAAATGCATGAACTCAAACAGTTGGGAATACATCTGATGCAAACTGTTTAATCCTGCTAGTTTGAGTTGGAGGCACGGTACACATGAAGGTTAAAAAGAAGAAACTGGGAGGAAAAGTGACATTTATGGCAGCCAGGGGGTGCTGTAGGCCTTAAGTTTCAGTGTTATACAGCTTTCCATGTGTCCTCACTTGAATATCCTAAAACACTGATTAAGAGATTTAATGTAAGAAGGCCAAACGAGTTTAATTGTAGCCACAGCTGATACTTCAAACTCAAACAAAAAGGGATTCCAGAAGGTTTTGCTATGTATGTTTGTCATAGCTGCCATGATCGAGCAAAGTTTAAACAACAAACTTAATAGATGCGAAAAAAGTGAGTGGACAATTTCATATCCTGTTGAAATCCACATTAAAGTTAAGAACAATAGTAGAACACCTACTGAGTAGCAGTGCTTTGGCTTTTCTGTCTGAAACCGCTCTCAGCAGCTGCCCACATCGGTTTTGCCGTTGTCTGCCTCGGTGTCATCACTCAGATCGCTGGTCCATCTTCCCCTCTGTCTGATTAAGCACTTCATCACATTACAGTCACACAGTAAGTGATTACATGCGTGAGAAACCACAGACCCCCTCAGAAAACAAAAGATTGATTTTATAAACCACACAGCATCGAGCATATTGATAATCACATTTAGGTTTTGAGATACTTTGACTTTATTTCAATGCGACTTCCAGAGGAACTAAACAGTAAATCTGCTGCTCTTGTAAAGAAAGTGCGAGTAAAACAAACTATTTAGGGTCTGTTTTTAAGCAGGATTAATGATGGGTCATTGTGGAGAGTCAGCAGGTGATATTCAGTCACCATTAATGGTTTAAATACATTTTTTCCTGCTAGGACAGCAGCTCTCTGCATGTGTTATCAGTCACATTAAGGTATTCGTTGAAGAGATAGCTGATGGAGACTACTGAGTATGTCAGAATTCCTGATGATGGACGTTAGTGGTGCTCCATGGAGACGAATGGTGAGAAAGGCAGTATTTTCCCACCAGCCCCGCAGAAAAATCGCTATGAAGCGAGATAAGGTGTTGGAGGTCACTTACAGGACTGACATGATATTCTCTGTGATTCACAGATAGTCCTGTAACACGCTGTACTCCAAGCAAAGAGGCTTCAGATCAGTAGTCACTGTGGTTACTTATGTGTTTATAGTACAAATAAACAACTGAAAGAGTGCATCACAAGCTGAGCCCGGCTCACTCAAAACGTCCAGCTGTCAGAAATGATTTGTTGCAGTTTAACTGAGCTTGATCTGAATTTGATTATTATATGTAACTGCTACCAGCTCTGACATGCACTGTGCTGTGTCAGATCCTACAGCCACGCTGCCAAGTGCTCCCTAACGCTTCACACCGAGTGATCTCCAAAGCTCGTGATTGAGGTGGTCCAGTTTCATTCCTGCATGAGAAATGTGTCTCGAGGAATGAAGATTATGGAATAACTTTGGTAATTATCCTATTTTCTCCCCACGTGTTTCTTTCTGCACGTACTGAGGGTCTTATTAAACTTACAGCATCTTTAAAGTGAGAGCCCGAGTGTAATTTACACTGATAATGTAATGACATCCAGGAGTTTGGACGGTGTTTCTGTAAAGGAAACCTTTAACTTCTTTCCTGACTGAAGAGCAAAAAAACCCAAACAAACAAAAATTCAGCGACGATCACGGCGTTCAGTTATTGTAAAGATTTATTACAGCGCTCTGTCTGATAGGCAGGCATGCAGAAGGTGCAGCAGGCAAAATATGACAATCACAACAATAACTGTTGAATTTTCAAATAGAATACAGCTTTCATTTGTTTGCAGTGTTAATTCAGAGTAATATAAAACAAGAGAAGAGGAAGACGAGGAGGAGACAAAGTAAAATCTGGCATTTGTAGTTTCAGTCGTCTTTCCAGACACGATAAAAGTGTTAAATGCCTGTAAAAATAAATACTGACATTATATAAAAACAATCAAATGCAATCGAACAACATGCTAAAGGTTAAAAGCAAGAAAAAACAACAGCAAACATCTATGATTCGCCACACGAGGCTGATATTAATGCTAATGTTTTTATACATTCACTGGAATACTTATAATCATCTTCACAGTTTGTGTGATTGTTAAAATCTACAGCAGTTTCCATCCTGCTTCTAACTGTGTACACATAATCTCACTGTGCTAGATAGATAGATAGATAGATAGATAGATAGATAGATAGATAGATAGATAGATAGATAGATAGATAGATAGTAGGGGTGCAACGATACACAAAATTCACGGTTCGGTTCGATATTTTTTCGATACAAAAAAATGTTCATGCCTTTTTAATTTGTCATTTATTAAAATTATAAATATATATTTTAACTCAAAAGTACAGTTTTTAAATTTAATGTTGCTGAAACAAAAAAAAAAATAAATCTATCTGATCAAGAAATCACTCATCTTTGGAAAAGAGAGTTTATTACAGAGAAATGGCTCTTTCCAAAATAAAAGCTATACTATCACGCTTCTTCTGGGCTATATTCTCAGCAGCATATTAAACATATCAGGTCCCCATGAGGAGAATCATGTGCTAACGGCTGTCTAAATGACTCGGGTAAAGTTTGTAGCATGCACGCTTGTTGTTTTTGTCCACTTCTCTTTGCACTAGGATGTCTGTGTAAATGTGCAGTCATATTTGTTGTGTTCACACTAGTGCTGTCAGCGTTAATCTCATTGAAATGACGTTAACGCCACAACACGGCAAATCTCCGTTAACAAGTTACCGCAGATCGCCCCGTGAGTGGGGCTGGACGGCCAACACGTTAACGGGCTAACTGCGCTAACGCACTAGTTCCCACAAATTGAGCATTGCGTGGCACATCCGACATACTGTTTTACTTTTGTCACATGACACGCTTACCTTCAGGGTCATACGTCACATGAAGACCAAATAGTTCCAAACGCCAGATCTGAATGAGGGTGGGGGAGGTTCAATTTGCCATGTTGCAACGAGCTTAGCTTCTGTCTTGCTAGCTTGCGCTGCGCTCAGTGGATCTGCAGCTCGACAGTGCAGCCTAGGCGGAGTAGTCGAACGCAGATCCACTGACGCTCAACACAGACAGCATCGTCAGAAGAAAGTTGATAAAATAAATAAAAAATTTGTATTGTTCGATACATATGCGTACCGAACCGAAAGCACTGTATCAAACGGTTCAATATCAATACGAGTATCGTTGCACCCCTAATAGATAGATAGATAGAATAGAGATTTGGGAACTAAGCCACCATGGCAGCACTGACAGCTGATATCGCTACTTTAACACAACTCTGGCATTCATGTTATAACACATTCACTTTAAACACAAATCAACACTGTTCAACTAAAAAGAGCAAGAGCTTTATGAAACCTTTACAATACAGCAGGTCAGCAAAGGTGCTGAATATAATAATGATATCTAATAGCGTAACACTTTGTCTCAAATGTAGTCAGGAAAAACTTTTATATAGCACCAAATCACAACAGCCGCCTCAAGACACTTTATACTGTAAAGTATAAAGCAACCCTACAATAATAGAGAGAAAACCCCAACAATCAGACAACCCCCTATTGAGCAAGCTCATGGCAACGATTGGAAGGAAAAACTCCCTTTTAACAGGAAGAACGCCCCAACAGGACCAGACTCAAAGAAGGCCAGGCATCTGCAGCTACTGGTTGGGGGTGATTGGTGGGAGATGGGACAAAAAGGCAAACTATCGGTGTGAAAGCCAGAGTTTAATAATTATTAGTGATTAAATGTGAAGATAGTGGTCAGAAACAAGATGGTAGGCTGTATCCATCCTGATTGTCAGCAATCGGAATCAGTAGGTTTCATTCATCTAGGACCAAGATTATCCAATTCCTTTCTGTCCACAGTTTCTTGAGATGCTGCCGTACCCCAATGAATATAAATATTAATTTTTATAAAAACTTAAGTGCAGTCATGGGGGAATACCCCACTGGCTTTAGGGCCCAAAGTCATGTGTGTAAGTAGGTCATAAGGAAGGAAGGAAGGAAGGAATAAAAATGTGAGGGAGAGACATGATGTAAATAATATGATTTGTAAGCAGATGCAGGTCAGCTCTGCTGTGTGTGTGGTGGTGGGGGTAACAGGGACAGCTAAAAGTACAAACAGGGGTAACCTGACCTGGTGGGAAAGGCTGTGTTATGGCTGCATTTACACAGCTGACAGGGGTTTAGCCGAAAGACCGACGAGAGAGAGCTCGTCTGTCAAACGAGTTCAAATTAAGACCACCTTTAGCAGCTTTAATGTTACATATAACTTCAAAAAGTGCTAAGGCAGCATTCACCTGTGGGTAGAGAGAGTGAATACCTGTCCGTCAAAGTTCAACTGGTGCACACTATCAGTTAGAGCCAATTTAAACACTCACATCTTCACTCTTTCTTCATCCATCCGTCTCAATTTTCAGGGAGAAAAATAAAAATCTAATGACACATTTCCCACCAAAATAAAATAATAAAATCACACAAGCTTTTAAACCCAAACCCGAGGAACAGGCCTGTTCTAAAGTAAGCCAGCTCACCTCCACTCTCTCTCTCGCAGAGTCATCGAAAATCAGTGTGACTCAACTGGCAACCTTTCTAAATCCACAAGGAAACCACTCATTTGCTTCAGTGATTTCTTAGAAACCTGTGATCCAAACTCCACTATTAGGCAACAGCTGTGCTGACGCTGCTCCCGGTAAAACACTGGAGTGGATTGCTGCAGACCTCTCTCGTTTGAAAAAGGCTGAGATAGCGCCGTCCGTTCGGTTACCGTGATTGCAAAAGAACAGAAAGTGTCCCCTGCGTGGGGTCTTAAGGGACTTAAGCCACTTTGGTACAAGGGCAGAAAAGAAAAACAGCGTCACAGATTTAAGTCGGGTTTGTGAGGAGGACTGTTTCTGGCATGGTTTTCTTTTAAAAAAAATACATTCTTGTTTAACAAAACTAACAGACTTCTGTTTAGTAGAGGAACAAAAGACTCTTAAACAAAAGACTCAACCAGTCCCCCTAGAGGCCCGTTTAAGCTAGGAAAAACCCGGTTAGTGATGAAAAAAACAGAATACAGCAGGATACATGACAGAAAATGAGTTAAACATATCCTATTATTGGCCCTGTTTGACATTTGAGGAAATATGCTGTCCCCGGCTGCCACCCCCTTACCAGGAGTTAGTCATAGCCAGACTAGTCAAACTCAAATTCCAGTCTTTACACTAAGCTTTAGCTTCATTTCACTTGACTCACACAGCTACATGAAAGCAGCCTGAATCATCTCTTCCAGTTCTTGGCAGGAAGGTGACTGCATATATCGCAAAGTGCTGAACTATTCCTTTAAGATCACTCACTCTCTCTTACACACACACACACACACACACACAATTCCAGTATCCAATGTGCTCCCCATCTGCTGTCCATTAAGCTCGTTTTTCATCCTTCCTGCTTTCCAGAGGAACTGTTCAGTCTCATTATTGCTACAACTCCTTATGAGGTCTTTGCTTTGATGAAGTCTTTATTGTTGAATACTACTCTGGACTCTAAATGTGTTATTAAACGGTGAAATCCCAACTTCCCACTGATGCCTGCTTCGTTTGCTTGTAGGAGCAAATCGGAAAAGTCAGGTGACATCTGAACACGTAAAGCAAACATTTGCTATCGCTGATGGCGGCCTACGCGCCGAGAAGCATGGCACACGGGCAGGTTGGTTTAACGTAATGGTAAATACAGGGAGTCGTGTTTTTAATACGTAACCATCCTTCATTAGTCTTTTATTGCTGTTTTAATGTCTAAAAATCCTTTTTCCTATTTGCGCTCCATCATTACTACGACTGAAGACAGAGCTGGTGGTGCTATTGACAAGTTACTAGCAGTGCGCTTAGTTTTTCTTCTCAGAGTCACCTGCTGGGGTCTTTTTTATCCCCCAATCTTGTAAATGCTTACAAGAAACAAATATCCTACATGTGGAAGTCAGCGTATGTTTGGCTGCGCGTTCGCGTCCCCGCCGCCGTCTCGGTCGGTGCCGCTCTCACAGGTAGGTGGTGGTCTCTCTGTTCTCCCTCTCTTTGGCCTGAGCCACAGCCACGTTGATGCACTGCAGCCACTCTTCAGCGTGTTTCTCATCCTGAGCCTTCAGCACGTACGTTTTACTGTCGGTGAAGATCTCGAAGGCGCGCGGCAGACCCCGGTCCCGACGCTTCTTGGCTACCACCTGCAAACAGAACAAGTGGGTGGGGAAGATTAATAGACAAGACGACTTCATCATCTAGCTCGTTTGGAGGAGAGCTGCTGTCTTTTTAAAAAAATGTGTTTTGGCTTCATGTTGGTTTCTTCTATCATATTTATAGTAGCTTTTTTATCCTTGTCAAGCTGATCTGCTTAGCTCTGAATCCTGGGAAGAGTTTAGACCTTTAGGTCAGATGATATATTAACTTCAAACTGACAGAGGTGTAAGTAGCACTGATGGTGATCAGTGGTGAGGATATGGGTAAGTGATGGAAGCGTTCTGAGGGATGATGGCAGTCACCTTGACGCTTTGCACCTTGCTCAGCTCAATCGGGATGTCATCCAGCTCATCCTTCTGTGGGGAGGACACACAGTGACTTTAAATACTTTACTAGGAGATAAATAAAATACAGGGTGTATCACAAAGAATCAGAAACTGATTTCAAAGTGCTTTAATTCATCTGAAACGATCAAACACATCCTGCTAGTAAGAGGTGATTCGCGAGGTTGCCGGTAGGTAGAAGTGGCCAGCTCTCCTCCCCCTCCCATCAAGTCTCAGTCAATATGGCGATCGTGCAACAGAAAGCACTGGAATTTCTGCAGTCCTCCCACTCCTCAGTCCCCTCCTTTCTGTATTTTACCCACCTACCTAAGGGCCATTTGAATTGTATGAGCTGGTAAGTTTGTGTGCATATTGCAACACAGCCATGTCTTCTTACCCCCATATTTGGTTAAGCGGTTACAACCACTTAACCAAATATGGGTGCAGACTCATGGCAAGTTACCACATCCTTTCTTTAGTGTGTGTGTGTGTGAGATAGAGCTGAAAAGCTATTGGGGTCGACATGTTCACAGGCTGTGTTTTCTGCTGGGGATTCAAACAGACATTTGATTGATCTGAGCCATACGGAGGAATTTAAAATCAACTAAATCTGGAAAAAAGTTCACATCTGACCTCAGAATCAGCAGATTTTAAACATTGCATTAGGTTTACTCTATTTCAAGAAGCCATGTATCTTCATGCTATAAATATCTAGTACATAGGTGTAGTGTTAAGTTAAGAAGGCAGCCACGTGACATGTTTTTCCAGATTAGGAAATGCTGCTGCCTGTGAGCTGTAAGCATGAATGAAACTTACTTCACAATTTTTTTCTCTGTATCAGCAGAAATGTCGTTGTTGCAAAATTGAGGCTGTACCTAATTTTTACCTACATTTTCATCTCGCAGCTGTTTTCGGAGGTATAGACATGTTAATTTGTGCAACAACGTCAGCTTTCACATGATCAGTCTGGCTCATCAGTGGATGATCAGAGTACCAGGTGACACACGAGGAACTGGAGGTTCTGTTCTAAAAGCTTGATGTGGACTTCATATAAAACACGACTGATGAATTTTGGCTGCAGAAAAGACGGCAAAAGGTAAACTGGATGAGGTGTGAGATACACGAACCTATGTGCTTAACCTCCACACATCCCAGCTGTTGGGCCATGAATGCATTTTAGGATGTGACAGAGTATGCACACTTCAAATCCACTATAACCAGTTTCTTCCTTCCGGCTGCTTCCTTTTCGTTGCCACAGATTTCCTGATGCAATTTATGCCTTCCCCCCAGTTTCAAAATAGGGGTTTTTCATGTGTCAACCACTACACTGTGGAGCCACAGACTCACACATAACCTATATGTAAAAATGTTGGGGGGGGGTTTCTTGTTCCTTTTACTTGTGCACCAGAGTACGATGCATGTCTGACAGTCAAAGCTGCCTGATCGTTCAGTACGAAGGAAATATTTTTTGGTTCTTGTCAGGAAAAAACGTCTTTCACAACATGCCAACCACCTCCAGAACCTGCTGGCAGAGACAGACAGGGCTCTGAGAACAAAGACACAAAACCTTCCCAATCTGCGGTGGCTGCAAAACAGCAGACTCCTTTACCATCTGGATCCGAGCACAAAGACTTTTGTTTAAAGTTAGGAAAAAAACAAAAAGAAGCGGGAGAGAGATGAATATTCCCCTGTTTCCATAAACTCCTCTATGCTGTCCTCTAATTTGGAGAGCTGCTATTTTAGACACAACACTGGCTAAAGTCCAGATGACACTCGATCCCTATAACAGTTTCTCCTGTGCAGATGACTGCCATAAACTGTGTTTGATAAAGCAAGGAGGGAGAGATCACGTTTACTCAGATGAGAGTCAGTATTTCACGTTCAAGGCTCTTTCTCCTTGAGCTACTTGTGCATAACCATTTTTGCAAGTAAGTCATGTTTTTGTAGCATCACACTTTGTCTTTGCGAGTCCCGCCCCTCCCCCAAGAGTCCTTAGCAGGGCCAAGATTTGTTATAGCTGGATTCATCAGATGCTCCTGCTGAGGTGCCATTTCCACTGTTTCATACAGTTTCATCATGATTTAAATCACACGAGACATAGTAAGATTACTGACAGCTTTATAAGCGAGAGAACGAGACAATGCGTAGGTGTATGTTTATATGTTAGGGTTCATTTTCAGTGTCTACCTACCGATTTGCCTCTCCGGAAAAGGAGCTGATTTCCCGCCAAGGTGAAGTAGCGGGTTTTCCAGCGCTTAATAAACTTCCAGCGAACCTGTTTCTCTTTCAGCTTCCCCTCGATCAAAGGCTGTCCCTCCTGGTTTACGACTATAGATAGCACACAAACACATGACAAAGGTAAAGGAAAGAATGAAAAAAAATTAATTAATTAATTAACAAGATATTATACTTATTATACTTTGCAATTAACCTAACATGTCGGTCACTCTGATGTCCTCACAAGCTGATGCTTCAATCAGGTAAAAAAAAAAGCACCAAGTTCGTGACCTATGCTGTCAGCAGGTAAGAGATGTTCGAGAAAGCTTGTCCGTCTAATAAGTCATGCAGAGGTCGGTATGGGTTACCAGCCAGCTGCTACAGCTGATGGAGTCCACACATTCAAGCTAAAATCCAACTGATTTCTTTCTTTCTGTTTCTGTCTCCATCTTCTATGACTCTCAAGTACTGTGCAAAAGGATTTGGGTGTGCAAACATACATGGAATTGCATTATATAAGGCATAAACACAGTGTACAATTCTAACAAGCTTAAAAGTCAATATTTGATGTGACTTCAGCAAAGTCTGAACTCTCTTAGGTGTGGTTTCTTGTAAGCAGTCTTCATGAATAGTTCTTTAGACTTCTTGAAGGACATTGGCTGCTTTTTGTTCTGTTAAGATGGTCCCACACTGCTTCAAAAATGTTGAGGTCCGGGCTCTGGGGAGGCCTGTTTATGACTGATCGTGTTTTTCTATTAAGGTATGTTTTTATCACATTGTCAGTACGTTTGGGATCATTATCATGCTGAAAATGAAGCTGTTACCAATCAAACATTTTCTAGATGGTATTAGACAGTGGATCAGAATCTGATGGTGCTTTTCAGCATTCTTAATTTCAAGAGTTTTGACACGATCCCAAACACCACTGGCTGAAATGCAGCCGCAAACCATGATAGAGCCTCCACCATGCATTTTAATCACGAGTTCAGCTTCCCACTATTAAATGAGCATTATAATAGTGCAACAGGAAGTGCTCCCGAATCAAGTGCCTTCAAATACCAATCACAACCGTTCCCTGCATCGTGCAGCTTTCCTGCAGGTTTCCAGGAAGTTAAATTGGAACTGACACATAATGGATATTGTGTTGCTGTGAGAAAATGACCTGGCAGGTTGGGCAGGTTGGGATTGAAACGGTCTTTAGACCGTTTCAATCCCAACCTGACTAAATCAGACATCAGTGTCATAATGCACTGCATAATGTCTCTAAGTGTTCGCGCCTGCAGCGCATGTGTGCAAACAGTTCCTGTGTACTCTAAGCGCTCCGTGGGCATGTTTTGGCATGTTCAGGTTTGGCGCCAGTTTAGAGAGAAAGAGGAGCGAACAGAGCAGCCCTTTGTATCCACCATATCGTGGTTAAAAACAGATTAGGCAATCTGATCAGTGTTTGGAGTGTGGCCTCCATGCTGAGCAGATGACTCCCAAAGGGGTTTGAAACCAAACCAAACACACCACGAAAGGTCATGGCAACCCCAAATCAGAAGAGAGGAGAGCAGAAAGAGGGGCTTCTTTGCTGCTTTTCTGTTTCCACATTATTTCCTTTCCTTTTATGGACAACAGAGAAACAAAAGACAGCATTTTAAACACATTATTTCAGGCGTGATAACTTTTTACTGGTATTTAATAGTATGTTTTGACAATTTATAAACAAAATAATGAAAATGATTTATGACAGCACAACAATATAGAAACACATTGTTACGCAGGGCTGTGGAACACCGATTACTGCAGTCCTGCCACTGTGGGCAACTAGGCTGAGTGCTTCATCTAACAAACATTTTGATTTTTAAAAAGTCCTTTGATGCATAAATCCTCGTGTCTCATCACTTCGCTTTGATGTAGACACCTGGAATGGTAACCTTTGTTGTCCGCCCCAGGCGTGCGCAGTGGCTTTCAGTCTTTCATCGGAGACACGCTGATGTCAAACGAGCAAAGACACAGCTAATAAAACACACACACACATACACTAAATCATAAGCAAATACAAATGGTCCACAGTAATGTGCAGAAACAGGAAGGTTTTGCATGGAGCTGTTGTTTAGTTTGCTTTCCATGTGTGGTCAGATCACCCATTTTAGTGCCAAACCTGACAAGACCCCCTCTGCATATGGCTCTTGATCAATCACTGCAATGTTATGGGAGTGACAGGATTTCAAAAATGGGAAATGAGTCATGTCTCCAACCCAAATGATTTCAAGAAACATCTCCTACAAACAACCCTAATTTCTCCCTCAGGCCTAGACATATATATTAAAAGAAACCCTCTACAAGCTCTGGAGTTAGCTTTTATAACGTGTAACTGCTTGATACTTTGATGGTTTGCTGTTCTTGGCTTCACAACCACACGATCAACTCAATATTAAGTGTGAGTAGAGCAGGGACATGTATCCTGAACACAAACGCAAAATCTCAAATTACTCACTGTGATGTTAGCAATTCAGTCTCCATGTAAGTGACCCTATTAGAAGGCTTTAAATTATTATATATTATTACTAACTTATTGTATAATAATTTAAAGCTGTATCACCAACCACAAATTTCTTCTTGTGGTTTAAATATAATTTCCATGGAAAATGACATCACTAGTGGTTCCTGGAAATTCGAGCAAGGGTGAGTTAAAAAAAAAAAAAGAGAGAAAAGAAAACAACAACAATGGTGCAAGTAGAGACAAAACTTTCAGCACGTTCTATTCTCGTGAAGCACCCAGGCATTACACAAACTGTAAACATAGAGGTGGTTAAAGAGTCCAGAGACAAACGCTACGTGGCACACAGAGAAAAATAAAGATTTCACAGGACTCAGTGCGGTCAAGTGAAAAATGTCCTGTGATTCGGTAGCTTGTAGAACCACTTTTAGCAACGATGACTTGAGTAATCGTTTTCTGTAAGAGTTTATCGGTCTCTCTCATTGTTGTAGAGCAATTTTGGCCAGCTTCTCTTTACAGCGTCGCTTCAGTTTATTGAAGTCTGGGTGCATTGGTTTATGCGCAGCTCTCTTACTGGAGCTTTATATTTTGGTGTTAAATCTAGATTATACCCCAAATCCCCCTACAATGTGACCTGCACCATAATCTGACGTGCACCTGCCTACAAATGTATCTACATGTCATGTAGACATTGCAATTGCTCTTTTCAGTACCATCGATTCCTCCCTTGCATTTCCAGCTACATTTTCGCCACAGTTTTTGAATGGATTGGTAGAAGAAGAAGAATCATTTAGTCAAAATCAGGACTATTCCTAAGGTCATGTCTCCAGGCCACGTCCCATGATTTTCTTACATCTCAGGGATGTAAGAAAATCCCTGGAAAAGATGCACAAAGAAGAAGATTTTTTATTTATTTTTTAAAAGTCAACAACAAAGCTGAGCCCAGCATTTGTATTTGTTTCTATCGGTCATGGTCATGTCAGTCGTGATCATTAACATGTAAAATGCAAGCATGAATGCTAGCAGTGATGGCACCTTGGTGGCAGTTATAAATAGGTTAATGCACAGACTCACTGCAGAAGTTCGATTCAGCTATTATCCGGTCGTTAAGTCTGACGTCACTAGCCGTGTCTGGGCCTAAACTCCGCTGCAGGTCCATATATCAAACTATCACTATGGCATTACTGAGAGTTGAAAAACTGTCTAAAGTCTTTCATCTTTAATAAAATGATCAGCGTTCTGCTCTACCAGGTGTAACAATTGAGTTTAACATCCAGGCATCCATGAAAACGGAATTTATGACATTTAACGGAGTTAGAAGTTAGCAAGAAGTTAGCTCGCTAGCTTCTATCTAAATACAATATAGCATGTCCTGACTGCGGGGTTTTGGAAACAAATTAAAACGTACAGCTCTGTTATCACTTCCAACATAAATGAAGACAGAAAACTAAACAGCAGTGACGTTTGTAGGGTTACTGAAGTTTGGCTAGCTGGTATATAATGATGTGCTACGTGACCGCTAGCGACACAGCTATGTTAGCATAATATAAACAAGCTAACTTTTTTTCCACTTAATAAAAGTTAACGTGAGTGTTCTCGGTGGTCAGGAACAAATGTAATCGCATGGCAGGATGCTGTAAAAGGACCAAACTTCAGCCAGGAGAACAACTGAGATAATCCATCCACAATACGAGGTTAGTCATTCATATACTGCTGCATGGGCTGGGCTGTAGTTACATCCTAAGGTTTTAAAAACTGAGCTTAAATAAATGATTAGCGGTAATAAAAGCCGAGGGAGGTCAACAGGGATCACTGACTGTTTTAGGAGAGTTTTGAGATCAAATACAAGAAAATACAAAACATTAAACATGTTAACAACACAAAAGCCATATTAAACACAGACTACTTTAGGCCCGGAAGTAGGATTCGTCACGTCATCACTTAATGACCGGATTGTCCCAGTCGGGTTGACGTCTGCACATTGACTTGATTCTTTTCTTTCTCAGTCATTCTGTTGTAGATTTGCTGACGTCCTTGGAATCACTGCATGATTGCATGACGCATCAAAGCTTTATCTGTCAGACAGATGGCCTCACATTTGAGTTTAGAATACTTTGGTACACAGAGAAGTTCGTGGTCGATTCAATGACTGCAAGGTGCCCGGGTCCTGTGGCTACAGAACATCATCACCTCTCCACCACAGTGTATGACAGTTGTTGTGAGGTTTTTGTGCTGACATGATGTGTTTGGTTTTTCCAAACATGTTGCCGTGTGTAACTGTCAAACATCTCCACTTTGATCTTATCTGTCTAAAGAACTGTGGTCCAGAAGTCTCCCAGCCTCCTAATGATACTGTCATGAACTTTAATATTTAACAGTGAACTGAGGCCTGTAGAGTCTGAGATGTAGCTCTTGGGTTTTTGCAGTTTTTCTGATCACTGTATGGTCGAATTTTACCCTTTTAATTCCTGTGGAAGCAGTAAGTGTGTACTTAGTTATTCACAGGACTGCATATAACATAATGTAGTATATACATGCACCACTAGCACCGTTTCCAAATAAGGCTTCACCAAACCTAATGCCATATCCTACCTACAAGTGTCCCGTTACACATAGATCGTACTTCATT